TCTGTGCTTAGAATGTAATATAGATCCAGGGTAATGGGAGGGGCAGAGAAGCTCCATTGTGAACCTCACTGTTGGCCTTCAGCCTTTATTGGGCCTAAGCTAACACACAAGATTGTTGCAAGGATAAAATGGAGGCAGGGAGGACCATTGCCTTGAGCCCCTTGGAGAAAAGGCAAAATACAAATATAATTATGTGATGTAACGAGTAAAAAGCAAGTTTTAATTTAGAGAAAGGTTATGTAGAGGCAAGAAGAATTGTGAATTTAGCTAGACAGAAGCAGACCAGGGTCGGGGCCCTCCCCTGTTCTTGGGAATCTGATATGGAACCAGTGGGTTTTCTGCCTTTTTTAGGAGTCTGCTTGTCTAAAGGAAGCTAAGGGTGCAATCCTATACCCACTTGCTCAGAATAAGGCCCATTGAACTCAGTGGGACTTAGTGCTAAGTAGGTGGGATTATAGGATTGCACAGTAAGCCCTATAACATTGTACTTGGACAGGTCCTCACCACTCTGGGAAGCAGAGGATGCTTAACAATATGCTCTCTGTGATCTCTTTCTCTGAGATGGGAGAGATCCTGTGTATGGTGGCCAGATGCAGAAGAAGAAAGAGAACCCCCAGAGCAGGAGAGGGGAGATAAACCCATCTGGCAATTTCAGTGCGAGCCTTGGCTGCGGAAAGTGTGGAAAGGAAGCCATGAGCTGACGTGTGTCCCTGTGAGCATGCTATATAGTTAAGATGTATCCACTTTCTCCTCTCCCCAGAGATCCCTAGAGATTCCTGCACTGCCAAGGAGCTGAAGTTGGAATAATGGCAAGTTCTAGGGACTCAAACAAATTGTTTTGAAAGGTATTCTCTAAGAAGACCAAATGGGGAATAGTGGCTTTCCCAGAACTGGTACTAGAAAGCTGGGGCTATCTCCAGGACAGCTGCGAAAATGTTACCTTCGTGCCACGGAAAATTGTTGTTAAAATTCTGCGTCCAAAGTCTGCTGTTAAAGGCACAATAGCCAGAAAAAGAAGAGAGAGCTGAAAAACAATGTTGGAATTAATTGTGCATGGTTGACAACACAAAAGCATGCTGTTAGTGAAGTTTGCCACCTCTGCCTAAACAGAGCAGTGCGAGATCAGTAGCGAGCTTTGCTTCCATCATACTTGAGGAATGTTTCCACTTTGACAGGCTGAGAAGATGCCGTCTCCATTCCCCTGCAACTCAAGGGGCTGGCTGTGAATGAAAAACTAGAAGAGCGTTGCTTTATTTATCCCCTCAACAGGTGCAAATCGGCCAGCTGTAATGTGAACATTCTTCCACCCACAGTTCCTTTGGGTCACTGCGTCCTAACCTGGAGCAGAAGACCAGACCCTGCCTAGCACAGGGCTGCATTTCAGATCTGCCTCTGAGGCAGTGATGGTTGTGGTGGCAGAATAATGTATTTTAATTGTTAAATGTAAGCCACCCTGGAAGCGGTGAAGTGGAAGGAAGGCGTTGAATGCCTACAATAAAATAAAGGAATTCATTTACAGGCCCTAGTTCTGTACCCATCAAGTGTCCCTATTTTCCTGGGACATTCATGGAATTACTGAAGCTATCCCAGCTTCTGATTTCAACCGGGAATGTCCCGTTTTCCTCCTCCAGTGCTATTACCGCCAAGCACAAGAATAGGATCAGCTGGTGCTTGCGGGGCAGATGGGGCTCGTCAACCTGGGAAGGTAGCCCATCTTGGAGAAGGAAAACACTGATCCTAAATCTGTGGGCTGATTTAGGATCAGCCCACCTCCTGGGCTCTTCTCAGTCCATTGGATCCAGCTAGTCTACCTGTATTGACTGCATTACCAGCAGCAGCACCCCACATAGGAGCCAACTCCTAGGAGCTGAGGTCCCTTCGCCCCCCTAAAATATTTGAGGGGGCCGGGGCCCCCAAAATTGATGGGCATTTCCATTCAAATGGTATGCATGTTCTGCATCATGCGATCAGTTATGTGGGGCAGGGCTTACCTGCCCCCCCCCCCCAATATTTTATTGAAGTTGGCACCCCTGCCCACACATGTAAAGTCTACATAAGCCCAATAGTCTGTTGTAGTTCCACCCCCATCCCCTTTGTGGGAAGCCTTTTTGCAGATACCAGTGAAAAAACAGGGCAGGTTGGTGTGATCCTGGTCGCCCCACCTTAAAAATCCATTTAAAAAATCCACTGTATGGTAACTATTTCAGACCCAGCTTCTTATGCACTACCCTGCAGGTTGATACTTTCAATCAGCTTTACCAGAAAAGCTACCAGGTGCACATTGCTCCATGGCATTTTCCAAAATGAAATGAACGTCAGATCATCCCAGAGGATGTAGCCAGAGATCTTCTGTCATTTAACTATATGTTAAGTGTAGCAAGAGATCAACCGGACTCTGTTCAAATCATACCTCAAAAAACAGAAAAGAACAAAAAACAGGATTAAAAACTATAGTGCTTGTCTTCTTCTCTCTCTTTTTAAAGCAAGGCAATCCAAATGAAATTTGCATGAATTAAATTTTAAAGTGTTTTCCCTGATAGTGGTATTTAATGCAGAGGTTGGTGGTGGGAACTACAGATTGTGTGGTGACCATGGGGCAAGGTGAGGGAACTTCTTGATCCAGAGCAAGCTAAATATGGCAGCATTGGTTTCCAGCACTGCAGGTGTGCCTCTGAGGTCAGGCATAGCAGAGAAGAGATTCCTTCAGTTAAATATGGGTCTGAAGCTTGGTTTTGTGGGCTCTCGTGACCATCAACATCATTGCCTAGTAGCAGTGCTGCACACGGTGTGAAACAAGGGGTGTGGGGGTGTGGCAAAGTCCTTTGTCCAAGGAGCTTATAAATTCAATGTAAACAGTGGGTGGGTTGGTGAGGGCGGTTTAAGGCCAACTGAACTGGGAGAGTTGGGTTTCCTCTGCCTAATCAACACACACACACACGGATGTCTCTGCTGGAATATCTCTGCCTAATCAACACAAATTTATATTACAGCAGTATATAAATATTTTTATAAATATAAATACATACGTAAATAAATAAATAGGCCCAGCACAGCATGGGGTGTGTCTGTTGGATTGCTCTAACCATGTATTTCTCTTTTCTTCTTTCTTTAAAAAACTTAATATTCAGAATTCCTATGTTGTCTACATAAAATGCATTTTTCCCAAAGTTTAAAGGCAATTAAACTTTTCACAGAAACCAAAAATCACCCTAAGATGCCTGCTTAAATAGGAAAGTTTTTGTCAAGCACCTGCAGTTCAGCAGGGAGTGGGGGGTCTCCTTAATTATATACATGAGCCTTACTTATGAAGCCAGGCTCTCAGCACCCAAAGACATATATACTATAACTTAAATACATGAAGCCCATGATAATAACAGCCCTCTTGAAAAATAAAGTTACAATAACTACTGAAGTGAATGATCACATCAGGCCTACATGTAATATTTGACAGCAGCTGATTTAAAGTTTCACTTATGTGCCCACCATTGCAATGATCAGAAAGCAGCTTCCTGAGGCACAGTATTCACTTGACAACAGAACAAAATCAATTGAGGGCCTGATAAGTTTCTGTGGGAAGCCCATTCTATCTGAGGATACATCCACAGAAAAGCCACTGCTCTGTACTCATTACCCAAAATAGAGTCACCCCAAATTGTTCAGCTCCTGTGTGTCTTTTCAAGCCCAGTTTGGAAGCAACATTGCTTGGGGGGCTTTTTTCAGAAAGAAGAAATGAGAGATTAGAGCATGTCTGGTGCCTGGAAAAGAGAACTGTAGAATTGCAAAATAGGAAGACCTCTTTCAAAAATGCTCCTGCGCTGTTTCAGTCCAATTAACATGCAAAAAACCAAGGCTTTATTAACCAGATCAAATCCTTATGATGTCACAATTCTTCCCTGTCCGATAAATTATTACCTTTTTTCTGATTGAGATCTACAAAGCGTTAGGTGGGCCTCCTTGAAGAGGCCAGGAAATTAAACACACTTGATCATATGAATTTGCAATAGAATACCTCCTGGAAGCTCATGGATTTATTATTGCAGAAGCATGAGGAAGGAATTTGAGATGAAGTGAAAGCACTTTTGTTTGGAAAGACAGCAAAGCTTGCAAATAGTTGGAGGATGCAAATAGTCGCGTGTTGACATTAAACGCACTTGGTATATTTTCAGCTTGGGTTCGGTTTCATATCCTTGGTAATTACCCAAAAGGCATAAAAAAGAAATATCAAACATGCAGCCCAAATGTACCCATCACAATGAGCCTGTATATGTTTCTTAAATATTATGCCACTCAATAGAAAACACTCCGCTTAATTAAAATGTGTGTGTATAGTAGACAGGATGACACAATGGAAACATTTAGCACTTTTTTCAAAGTTGTGCAAATGGTAGAATTTGAGCAGGGACAACTTTCTCATCCCTGTGTGGTTAGGGCTATTAGGATTCTCCCTCCTGACAAGCTTGTTTTCTGTATGTACCGGTAAGTAGGTTATTTTGAAAAACAAACCAGTGGATATTTGATAGAAATGTATAGTTAGAAGGACCCCGAGGGTCATCTAGTCCAACCCCCTGCAATGCAGAAATCTCAGCTAAAGCATCCATGACAGATGGCCATCCAACCTCTACTTAAAAACCTCCAAAGAAGCAGAGTCCACAACCTGCTGAGGCGAGAGCGTTCCACAGCTTTTGAACAGCTCTTGCTGTCAGAAAGTTATTCTTGAAGTTTATAAATCTCTGTATTGACTATACAGCCCTCCAGCTATTTTGGAATCTCCTTTCTTGTAACTCAAAGGCATTGGTTCCAGTCCTACCCTCCGGAGCAGGAGAAAAAAGTGTGTGTGATAGGAGAAATTCAGACTAAAATGCTGGTGCATTTTCATACTGCAGAAATATGGAGAACTGAATTTAAGATTGGAGAAATGAGTAACTGGGAGAACCAGAACTGACAGATCCCTCCCTCTCTCCCTCCTAGGGTACTAGTCAGGGGGCATTCCCAGCCCTACCTGGAGATGCCAGGGATTGAACAAGTGACCTTCTGCATGCAAAGCACCTACTCTACCACTGAGCTATGGTCCTTCTTCCATAAAATCTGCAGCAGGGAGGTCTGAAGGACCTTTCAACGCAATATGCTTCGATTTGGCTGGCTCTGCCCAGTTGCCTTGCACAGAGTGTTTAACTGCTCAAACATTTCAAATGGGACTTAGAATTTAGTTGCCCACCAAAGGTTTTCCATTTGGACATGGCCACCTTCTCATCACCCACTGTACTGGTAAAAAGGACAGGTTAAATTAGCCCAAACAGGGAAGACAGGATTGAGCATCTGAAACCTCAAACTCCTGACCGTATTCAATTTGTGAAGCCTCAGCCGAAAGGCTGAAGAGAATTCAGTTTGACGGGTGAAGTCAGCCCAGATATACTGGGGCATTCACAACTCAGAACAGCCTCACTGGATAAAACTTTTCCAAATGCAATGGTAGGCAAGAAGAAGGGGTTCTTTGTTGTTGCCATGGTGGAAACGTTTACAAATTACCTAGGCCGTAGCCAATCTGCTTTGGCGCATGAGTGGCATGCATGCAGCATTGCTCCTTCCTTGGGGATCTTGCCTCTTGTCCCATTTTTATTTATTTTTTACCATGGCTTTCTTGTTAGGCCATAGCAAATTCCATTTGCATGCATTTAAATCAATTAACAATTTTTCCCCTCTGAGAGAGGTGGCGACCCTTTTGCAAAAGAGTGTGTGGGAAAGGAAGGGATGAAGCTGAGAAGTTCTGAGAGGCAGAAGGAAATCAGTTCCCAAAAACTGCAAAGAAGGGCCATGAAAAATAGAAAAATGACCCCTTTTGGAAGAGTAGTGGATGGCCTGACCTCCAGCAGGCCACATTGCTGCTGCTTGCTGGGAAGCAGAGGAGAGTGGAGGGCAGTGGTGTGGTCAGCATGGTGCAAACTCGCTGGTGTAACCCATGCTTCTGAGTAAGCAGCAATGCAGCTGGTCAGAGTGTTATGATCACCCCACTACTTCTACTGCTTTGGGATTTCTTTGAGGGGTTCTTGATTGATTCCAGACTCAGTTCAAAGGGCTGGTACTGACTTGTAGGCTGCAATTAAGAGCAAGTCCAATTAGATTTAATGAAGCTTTTTTGGGATCAGGCACATTTAGGATCACTCGGCTCAAACTTGAGACCCAAGTGCCTTCTCCCATATCAGCCAACCAAACAGTTTTGATTCTACTTTTTTTCTGAGTGCCTCTTCTGACAGAAGTGATGCAGGTGGCAACCAGCAATACAGTGCAGAAAATTTTCATAAGTTCATTGGCAGTCATTTACTGGTATTTGTTATATTTACCGGTATTTTATGAAATGAATATACTGCTTGACTGTAAATAAATGAATGAATTCAAAATGGTTAGACTCAGTGAATGGATGACAATTGCAAATCCAATATTAGGCAAGCTTGGGACTTCCAAATTTTTTGGCTTCCCTTATTAAATGCAAGTAAAAGAAACATGCTGAAGTGGAACCTAATTTGCCTAGGAAGTCTTTCCAGTTAAAAAAATTATGGAAAACTCACACTAAAGAGGGTGTCTGCTAGGGCTGGGCAATATCTGGTTTTCAACATCACAATATATCACCAGCTAAGCATTGCGATATACCAATATATCATGATGCCTGAAATAAGGATGGAGCTATGTGGAGGCATTGGCTGGCTTCATGGTTTTCCCTGCATCATGATTTTTGCATAGCACACACACACACTCACACTCATACATATCATATACATGATATATTGCCAGCTCAAAAATTATGAAATCAATATCACAATATGGACTTCAAACTGGTTTTGGACCATATATTGCCCAGCCCTAACGCACATCATGATTCACGATATATTGCCAGGTCAAACCAACATCACAATATGAACATCAAACCAGTTTTGGGCAATATAGCGATATATTCCTGAGCCCTAGTGTCTGCGTTATATGGTGTTCTCTGCTTCAAGGCCCTACCTGGCCTCAGTGTTGTTTTCTTTTGGAATGTCAGGCAGAAAGCTTCTTGGTCCTCCATGCCTGTTAGGCTTTGCCGAAAGCTCTTTTTATTTTTTTCCAGTTTATATTTAATGTGTGGTTGTTTATATGCCTTGCATTTTATACTTGAGATAGTCGGAGAGATGCCTGTGAAGCTACTGTGAGATTACCTAAAAAATATAAGTGGCATCTATCTTTTGAAGGTATTAGACAATTAAATTCCTTGTGCTACTTTTCTAAGGCATGCGTGCTTCTCCTCACACTTGTGCTTGACGACACATGCACATTGTTATTCTTACATTTTATTCATTTATATGGCACCATCAATGTTCATCATGGTGCTCTGCAGCGGCAGGAAAAGCAGTAGGTCCTTGCCCCCGTGAGATTGCAATCGGAAGGCTTGACAGTGGTGAGAGAGCAAAGGAACAGGAGAAGCAACCATAACAAGCCATGGTGATGAACAAATGCAGCCACACTTATTTTTTTGCAGCTGAAGATGGAGAATGAAAACACCTTTTAAAAAATACCACTGTGACATGAGAAGCATAACAGGGCTTTATCTCTGAGGGAAGCCATGCTACCTCCAGCCCCACCTCTGGAGATCTGCTTTCTATACATCTTCTGTAAGAAGCAGACGTGGAGGTTACAGTAGTCTTTTTCATCCACCTGCAGACTTCCTTGCGCTCACTGATGTGGCAGGATTTAGGGTGGAACTAATACCAGCCCTTCACAGCTAGCTGGAAGAGACATTTTTCAAAGCTGAAGGGGAACGGGCACAGATTTGAAAAGGGCATTCACAGTAGAAATCCTTTTCACAGCAGCTCTGTAACGTGGCTCCAATCCAGATGGAGTTGCGTGCAATGATCAAAGTCACCATGTGTCATGCTTCACAGAGGACAGCCTTCCCTTTGAAGGTGTCCTCTGTTTGAATGCCTGTTGAGTCCAATGATAAGGAACCATGAGATGGGAGAGCAGGGGCCATCAGCAGTTAGTACCTGGACAGTAGACTGAGCAGACACACAGGTCATTTGGCCACTGTCTCTCCCACTGTGGTGGTGTGATAGACACACACACACACATTGTACAGATACAAATTGTAAATATTTTTTCACATTGGCATCTATGCACAAATGAGCATATCCGAATCTTATGCAAATCCACAACTTCATTTGCTTTTTTGTGGGGAGCAATGCATTTCCTGATGTTTGACAATTAGTTCAGCCACCTACACACCACATTTTAGAGGACCAGATAAGCGTTCATCTATGATGCTCAAAGCGAGATGTGTTAGGTGAGGCTCTCCATGCAGCAGACACAGGACGGGCACATTTGCACTATCCTACATAGTGCAAAGCACATGAGCACCCACCCATGATATGACCCACAGTGGGATATGTGAAAGAAATGCATTGTGTTTTAGGTGATGGGAAATGAGATGGAAGTTCTGCCTGTGGTGTTAGATCTGTGAAGGCACATTTACATGTGCAAGTCACCCCTTGGTCCTGTGGTGATTAAGGGATCAGCATGCACATATGTGAATCATCCCATCAAGCTCATTAGATTACTGTGGATAGCCTAGTTTGCATTTTCTTTTTATATGACCCTTGAGCACAGAATGGACCCTTTAAATGGCTGTGCATGCCAGGTCCTGACACAGGAGCCATTTATAGAACTGCAGAATAATCTGGTGCCATTTGAAGAACTGGGCTGCATGGATGTCATTGCTGCACAAACCACAGACAGCCTGATTCTGTGCCTGCATATAGCTCTGGGCATGGAGCTGGTGTGCGCACAGAGATTTAAAGCAGCTGCCAGGGCTGTAACTCAGCCGTGTAACACATGCTTTGCATGCAGAGCATCCCAGGTTCAATCCCTGGCATTTTCAGGTAGGGATTGGGAAAGGCTTCTGTCTCAATTCCTGGAGAGCTGCTGCTGCTGCTGCTGCTTATTATTATTATTATTATTATTATTATTATTACTATAGTATTTAAAGTTTTGCCTGGCATGTAAAAGATAGCAATGTTAGTGCCAAGTGTACCTCCCTTAAGACACATTGCATAACTACCCAAAAAAAGCTCTTCCATCTTTTTGTGGCTAACCTCACCTTTGATGGAATTGATAATTGGAAAAGGGCATCAGCTGATGACTGCAGTGCATAGGCAGGCTGGTCCAGGAGATGGTGCTCCTTCAAACTGCTATCAAGGATGCTTTGTGGGTTCAGTTTCACCCAGTGCTTTTATTCTGAAAATATAGGTGCCGGTACTCACCATGAAGTTGTCATAGTAAGGGCCACACTTTTTAATACAAGCCAAAGCTGGTGCAGAACGCTGCAGCGAGATGGGGCATGCTTTGGCAGCACATGATGCTATTGGTAAATAAACTGCATTTGCTGCTGATATATGACTGGACCTAATTCATGGTCTTGCTTTTAGCCTATAAAGCTCTGAGCAACTTGGAATCATAATATCTTGAGGAACACCTTGCCTTACCTGATTCTGTTCTGTGAACCTGTGGGTATAGGGTGGTATATTAGTAGTAGTAATAATAATAAGCTTTTGCCCAACCCACAAACTCCTTGGGTGAGGCACTCTTAGTCGTGCTGCATGCTTCTAAGGTTTACCTACAAAAACCAGGGCTTTTAGTGTTGTGGCACCTGCTCCTTGGAATGCAGTTCCAGATGCATTTAGGCTTCTGCTTAAAACCCATTTGCTATCCAAGGCTTTCCCTGAAGTGTGATCCAGTTAACTTGAGTTATTAATCCACAACTTTGCAAAAAGAAAGAAAAAAGAAAATCTTGACAACCTTTTTGTCCGTATTTTCACTTTTTGAAATATGGCAACTCAAGATTCATTGGCTTGTTATTTTTAATTTGTTTTTATTGGTGTAATTTTATTGATGAGTTTAGGCTGTCTTCTGCCTTATGTTTTCTGTTGTTCACTGCCCAGATATTATTATTTTTTAATATTGCCAGTATAGAAATATTTGCAAATAAATGAATATAGCTGGATTGAGGAGCACTTCCAAATTGTTCTTTCGGGGAGAGTGCTGAATACC